TTCTTCACTTTCCCATTGAAACAGAGTTCTTCTAAAGACCAATCCCCACTCTTCATTCCCACCTCTCCTGCTAGTGATCACTGCCACTGATTCACTTTTATCAACAGCCACAGAGAATAATCTAGGAAATACATCTTTTAAACAACCATTGCCAACCCAATTATCAAGCCAGAATTTTGTTCTCCTCCCATCACCAATACTAATTTTTATGTTAGCCTTGAAAAAATCCACCACCTCAGGGCAAGATCCAGCAACCCCCAATATATCTCTCCAAACCATAGACAACCTTGTACTTGCAACAGGTAAGGGCCACCAACCCCACCGCCCTTTGGGTATTTGCTACAAATCACTTTTTTTTCCAGAGAGTGTCATTTTCACACCCAAATCTCCACCACCATTTCAAAAGAAGACAGTCATTCATGACTCTCACCTTTCTAATGTCTAACCCCTCTTTACTTTTGCTTTGAGTGATTTCCCTCCATTTGACCAAATGAATTTTTCTTCTTAGCTCATCACCCCCCCCAAAGGAATCTAGACTGAATGTTATCTATCTCCTTTGCAACCCCTTCAGGCATTTTTAATAGCGATAAGTAGAAATTAGGCAGGGAGGAGAGCATTGACTTTATCATTGTCAACTGCTGGAAATTGTGTTCATGCATATAATATGATAGTGACACAAGGTCTATTTACACCATAAAATTTTCTAATTTGGATTTTACTCAGCTGCTGTTATGCCTATTTTGCAAGTGCAAGCTAGTCTAATACAATTACAAACCCGATTTCCATAGCAATTAAAACTGATTACCACAATAATTGTAATGTACTACTTAACGATGAGCCAGAAAATTGGAGCTTTGGGAAGCATCACATAGCTCTGTTAATGGCTTTTACTGCAAAAATTCATCAATCACACAAGCAACTGTATTGCAACCAGTTTTGGTGTAAACATAAATATTTGTGCATAAGAATGGATCTCTTCCCCACATGAGGGTTATATACATCATAATTTTATTAAGTTGAAGGTAATTAGTGATTTTATGACAAATTACCATGATCTTATTTCTTACCTACTGATGAATGATGTTTCATTGTTTCATTGCTTCAACTTCAGCATTCAACTATCCCTCCAACCAGTATCAGATATTGAGAATCAGTCTCAATGAATTAATAAATTTCATACAATACAATACCATCCCAGCTATCAAAAAAATCAGAATTGGCAACACTTCATGAACATGTTATTGGCTAAATTAGATTGTTCAAGAAAAGTAAATTTGTTAATGACTTGTAGAGTACCTTATGAAGAAAAATAAGTACTCAGGAAGTCGCTAAGAAAATGGCAATCCATTCCAAGATATAATGAACTGTTCTATATTTTAGAATTCAAAATAATAATAATAATAATAATGTAACCAGATATTCTACCTAAATATCTAAGCTACACTGATTGATCAATCCAAACTGATGCTAATTTAGGGTAATAAAAAAACAGAGATTAAAATTCAACATGCTAGGAAAATTCAACATGCTAATTTAGGGAAAAAAAACAAGCGAATCTGAAGCGATGGTGCTCACCTTGGTAGATGATGGTGCTCACTTTCCTCGCTGAACGAATCTGAGATTGAATCACCGAGCTGAAGAAGGTTGAACTTCGAAATCACGTTCAATCGATCAATAGATCTTCAATCGATCGATCTGATCTAGATAAAACCTAGCAAACCTGAATCGAATGATTCCATCAGTAAGTATCATCTTCAATCGAACTTGACTGTGAGAAGATAGAGATAAGACTGATCAACACTTACCATGAAGAAAGACCTGCGAACTCGAACATGAACTAGAGATAGAGATAAGACTGATCTGCGAATCGATGATCTATGAATACTTCAATCGAATAAACGAAGAGGTGAATCGAATACTTGAAGAGAAGGGTTGCAGATTAATCGATTACTAAATGAAGGGGTTTGAATCGAGAGAAACGAAAGGGTTTGAAGCAAGAGAGAGTGAAATCACGGGTGTAGAGGGTTGAGAGAGAGATCTTCTTTGATTTAAGCTTCGATGGATCTGAATCAGGTTTTGTTATCTTCTTTGATTTAAGCTTCGATGGAGCTTCGATGGAGAGGGTTGAGAGAGAGATCTGTTCGCATGTATTAAGGGTTGAGAGATCTGTGCGTATGTAGGCTCTGATTCAAAATAAGGTTTTCACAAAAAAGGGGCGCGTGTGGGTCACCACATTCGGAGGCGTTTTTAAACGCCTCCCATCATAACACGGTGTCGTTTTGTGTAATAGAATATGCGACGTTTATAAAACGCCGTTAAATACTAATAACAGTGACGTTTACAGAAACGTCGTTAACAAAACGCCACCAAATCCCCCTTTTCCTGTAGTGCGTCTACAAAGCTATCAGGACCCCATCCCATTATTCCCGCTATTTTGTTGTTCTTGAAATTGCCCATCCATGTTATTCATTCCGCAACCAAAAGTTACACTATCAATCTTTACTATTTTGCCTGTTTTCGAATGGAAATAGAAATTTTATTTCATGAGAATACCCTTCGTGTATGTTTTCATAAATAGTAGTGTAGATTTGATACTTTCCACCACTTGAAAGAATGGGGCGAAATGATTTGGGGCTTTTCATAGGGCAAGGCTTTGGTATTTGTTTGAAGCAATTGGTACATCCATCGCATTGGATTCATGTGAGACTACTGCCTGTGTCCACATCCATGTAGTACCCTTTGTATGGTGGATTCGTGGACGCATAATTTCAAGATGTACAAATTGGGAATTATATGATGACGTGCTAGACAAGTAATGAGCTTGGGCATTGGGTTGTTGGATGAGCCTTCGACTCCTCTCTTCACAGGAAAGTTTAGCTTGGAAGGGAGGTGACTCGGGAGAGTCAGGGTGGATAAAAGTAAAGAAATAGGTTTGACATAGTACTAAAAGAAATCAATGACAATGTTTTTGCCATGGAACCTTGAAATTGTTGGGGTATATATATACTGATGAACTCTACGCCCATGTTTTATAAAAAACACAAAGAATATATTGTAATTTAATGGCTTTTTTCCTCTCATTAACGTCATCCATTTTATTTTTATTTTTTTGATCGGGAAAAATGAACTTTATTGATGGAATAAGCAAGAACAAAATGCTAAACGAATAACATAAATAAAGAAAAAGGATGTGCAAAAGTACCATAATGGGCTAAATCATCCCAAAGAGGTTGGTACTAAAAAGTTCATCCTATCATTTGCTAGCACCTAGTAGCGTAGCCAAGAATTCACCACCCAAGGCCTAAATACCCCTATGCCTAGGGCTGGGCCTGGGCCTAATTTTTTGCCCTGTGGCCCGACCTGGCCCAGCCCGAATTTTGGCAGGAGCTAGCGAGGCCCGAGTGGGTTGGGTCAGGCCGGGTCGGGCCAGATTTACAACTCTAATGATCATTCATATATGCGTACATATTTATATAATTATTAAATTATTTCTCATATTTATTTAAGTTATATTTAAGATTATTCTCAATTATTACATATGTCATAACATTTTTCTAAAAAGAAGTTTATTTATATATACATATACATATAGATATAATAAATAATTCAATTAAATATTTTGAAATATTAATTAAAAATAATAATTATCCCATTCGGATGAGTTAATTACTAGTTCTTTTCTAGGGTTTTTTTTTTTTTTTTTTTTTAACTCCCTAAAAAACTATACTTGTTTAAAGACAATTAAACTATGCTTGTAAATTTAACGGCATTGAGTTTTGTTCTAGACAACTAACATTAGTTTAGTTTTATTATTCTACCACCTTCGAGTACCACTGACATCCCCGACCACCAAAGACAACTTTGTAGTGACCACTACTAGTTGTTGGTGATCATTTTTCAATGACTCTTCCATAAAGTGAAATTTTATTAACGTAGCATAGTGAAATTCTCTGGCTACTATTTCATGTGACTCTCTGACGAATTAAATTTTCAGTATGCTAAATTAATAAAATTTTAATGTGTTCAAAACAATTTTTTTTTAATTAATTGCTAAAAATTATAAAATTCAAAGCCAATTGAATTTTCATTATGTTAGGACACTGAATTTTTTTTTTTTAAATTTCACTTTTAAATTAATTACGTGAAATTGCACAAGTAGTTTAATTTAATGAAATCTCACTAACTATACCTGCTTCTCTGAGTTTACTTAGAAATTTCACTGAGTATCAAGGATGGTTGGGAGAGTTGACTGAGACAAAATGAACATCAACAATCAAATCTTTGTCAACCAACAACAAATAGACCAACAAATAGAAAAATAAAATAAAACAAAGAGTGAGAAATGACATTAAAATTTAGCAACATCTATATCTAAACTAGTGAGATGCGTCACATGGAGAGATAGAATTGGTACTTGACAAACAGTTGACGATAATGCTTGTTTCAAGTATACAAAGCACATCTCGAGGGATGGCAAAGACAAAGAGATCAACAGCGGCAGCAATTTGAAGTGAAATGAACATAGACAATAGGATCTATTAGAGAGAGAGAGAGAGAGCCATTGAAAAACTCTCATACAAATATGTAGAAGAATATGTCTTTAATTTTCCAATCTTTTTATCAAGATATGTAATTAAGTTTGTTTATAAGGATGAAAAATAAGATTTTTACTAAATAATCATGTTAACTTAGTTAATGTTTTAAGAACTATAGCGTGACTATAAGACTTTGCGATTTTACACCATATATACTAGTGAATTTGAGGCTTAGAATGATCATGTTAAATAAATCCTTTTACATTTTTTAATATTAATGTGAATTTTTTTATTTATTTTTAATTTTCTCATATTTTGAAATACAAAATTCCTAATTAAATCTTTATATTCAAATATGGCTAATATATAATATATATATCATTTCAATTTAAAACATTACTAATCCACTTTATTATTCTTGTAATATAGTTGATTTGTTCGTTTGTCAAACTTTCACCTATTTTTATAGGGTAAATTTTACTAACCTTAAGATTTGGAGAAAATAAATTAAATTTTACAGTTTTGATATAATTATACTTATACATACTTTATTTTTAATAAAATTAAAAAGACTCACTAATGTAGATGGTATGAAAACACAATACATAGTGATACACAGTGTAAAATGTATATTTTAATATAAAAAAGATAACAATGTTATTTTTTTATTCATACGACTAATGAATATCTAATGAAAAAAAGAACAAGTGTTATAACAATTAAAACTTCAAGGAAGCCAAAGGTAATTCTGCCAAACTTGTGGGCTTAATATATTTTCTCCAAATATTAGAGGATGTTAGTGTAGTTTACCTTTTATAAACCATGAAAATTGTCCAGATTCATGAACGATGAAAATTTTCCATAAATATGTGTAGTGTAGATGAAGAACTATTGTGTTGTGTGCCACACCTAGAATTAATCTCTTAACAAAAGGAGGATTCCCTCTAATCCAAAATATAGATAGCATGGGGGGTTATTTGGGTCTGTAGGGCTCATTAGGGTCTCATTTCGATGAGTCGAACCGTTCATTTTATTACACTTCAAATATTTCATCCACACAAAAATTAGGTCGGTGGTGCTATTTGGGTCCATAGGGCTCATTACAAACCACTTCGATTATCTGAATTGTTTATTTTGTCAGACACTTTGTATATTTCATTTACAAAAAAAATTAAGTTGATATGATAACTGCAACTTATTCAATTTATTATTTTTGTCATAAAAAAAACGTTTGATTTATTTTTTAAAAACATAATTGCTGTTTATTTTTTTAGTAAAAAACACATTAAATTAAATAAGTTTTAATTATTGAATCGACCTAATTTTTTGTATAAATAAAATCAACGTTGTCTCTAACAAAATAAATAATTTAAATCATTAAAATAAAATCACAATAAATCCCACAACCCAAAAACAGCCCCAATATGAACGGGAGGGATCCTCCTCCTAACAAAAAGTCCGATTATCTAAAAAACCGTGTTTGATTTTCCTTTGTTATCTTAGATGGCGAGAAAAGTAAAAAAATCTTTTATTTTGTTTTTCAAATAGTAAAGTCTCCAAGGCCGGAATAGTTTACTATTTGGAAAAATTGACCAATTTCATTATTTTTATGAAGGTATTTTTTACCTTAAATATAAACTTTGTTTTTTTAATTTATATTTTCATTTTTAAATCTCTATTCAAATTTATAATTTAAGCATAATTAGAAAAAATATATAGGCATGACTCATGAACTTTTTGAACCTTATCCATGTAAGTTTGAATTTGAATTCAAACTTACTTGGATAACCACTCATGATATCTATATCTATCATATCAACTTATATAAATAGATTAATATATATGGTATATATCCGATTATATATTGAATATAATATATTGATATCAGATATGTATATATGGTTTTTACCCATAACTTTTTTCCCAGACTCTCTCTCTAACTCTCTCCCATGAAGAGAACGATTCAGCCTTTACACTGTGACTTGTGTAGGTCAGCCTTTACACTGTGACTTGTGTAGGTGATACTCATATTGTGGTATCGCTCCACTACTGGTGTTCGTTGTTCGTATTTATGGAAGCACGTGATTTACCCACTAGATTCTTCGCTTCTATTACCTAAGGTATGATCTGATATTTTTATCCGCTGCGTTATTCTGGTTTTACATTGGTATCAGAGTCTTAATGGGTATTGTCGTGCTTATTTTATGCAATAAAATGTGTATAATTTTATATAAATATATACACGTTATATGCATGGAAATTAATGTTTTTTTCAAAACTTTACATGCATGATGGTTTTACATGCTTTAATTTCAGTCTGCAAATCTTACATATTTAGAATCCTTGTTTCGAGACCTTCGAAACCATATATTATTTGTTAGATTTAGACTTACGGTTGATGAGATACATCAAACCCTAATTTGGGTTCGTTTTGATTTTTTGATGGTTTGAGGAGGAAGATGAAGTGCAGGATTTCTGCACTTCCACTCTCATTGAAAAGACAGTATAATACACCTCATCTTTTTATGTTCATTAAATGTCTT